CCCCCCCCCCCCGACAAATGAAAGAAAAATTGCATCCACTTTCAAAGTCAGCTGCTAATAAAGTCACAGTAAATTACTTTCATCAATAATTTACACAAATTACAGGTCTAGATAGGACTGTCCTTACACAGTCTGAGTGCATTCCAATTCAGATTTTCTGGGCTAGGTAGGCTAAAGTCAGATTCAAACCTCAGGGCTGAGAAGATCTCCCATTTTGAGGAATGTTGTTGAACCTTGTCAGACGGAGCCTGTGTTGGTGCTTTGCCAGGGTGAGAGCTCTTTGCTAAAGCTGTTACTTCCGGTTAGGACTCATTCGGTGTGTACCAGCAACCTCCACAGATTTTTTTTTTAAACCATTAAAGTGTTGTAAATATAAGACCATAGAGCTTCCTTTCTGTAGCACTAAAGTTTAATTCCATTCAGCAATCTGAATTCTTCATTCTGGAATTCTCATTCCAAATATGATTTCATCCTTTAAGACAATTTATATGTGTAAAGCCAGAGGCATTGAATCACACATAAAAATTCAGTGTACTTGAAATATAAAAAAAAAAAAACAAAAAACAAAAAACAAAAAAAAAAACGGATCTCCAGCTAGAGAACACAGTTACAAATACTCTAATTCCAGTGCTTGATGTAGAGCCAAGAGGTCTGAATGACTTGATATCCTCCAAAAGGGCATATTGTGCTGTGTGGTTAAGAGAGGGAGGGATGGGAGAGAGAAGGGGAAGGGATGGAGAGAGATCATAACTATTATCTCAGTGAAGCAGCGGTCCGCACAAGGAAGTGTAGTTCACCCAAGTTCAAGGGAGGGAGTTTAAGGGAGGGATGATCATATTTGAAGGCTTGGTAGCATCAATGTGGTATTGTCAAAATAATAGAGAAATAGATCTGAACTGGATTTTAATGATAATAAAAGAAAGTAATGAGATTTCTTAAGTAGTTTAATATTTATTTTGGAACGTATCATTACTAATCTCAGCATCTGGGAAAGCAAGCTGAGCATCAAAATCCTACGTGGCTGGAGGAAAACAAATTTTACTTACTACATCACTCCTTAAGGTCTGTCTCTCAGAAAAAATGACAAACTTCCTAAATCCAAGGCTTTTTGGCGATTTGAGAGGAAGAGGGTGAATTCCTTTCTACATTAAAATATAATTTGAAGCTGGACTATATAAGGTAGAAAAAAATGTGGGGATGATCAAGTTTCTTACTTGTCTGGGGGTAAGTAATAATTTAAGCCAGCAGAGTTGACCTGATTTATTTCCTCGGTGTGGGATTGAGGGAAAGCACTCCAGCATGCATGCTCAAGGGGGAGATATCACCCCCTTAAGGGGACAAAAATGAGTTTTTGTGGGGAAAAAATTCTTAGATCTTACAATGGTTTGTGGCTCTCCAAAGCTATACCAGTAATGGTATATGCGTGGTATTAAAATTTCATGAAGGGTTGTAATTAGGAAAAAAAATGTCTAAAAATACTTCACTGTGGACAATAATGAAAAAAAGGAAATAATGCACTATAGCAATTAACAAAACCAAAGCTTTATTTGTAAGTTTGGGCTGATCACATCTTGTAGAATATATATTTGCATGTAAAATGGAAATATATGTATATTGTATGTAACATGGAAGACACTTTATTATAAAAATGAATAATTAAAATAATAATCTCTATTGTTATATAGTTTTTTACTGCCCAATATGGTAGCCACTAGCCCAATATGGTTATTGAGCACTCAAAATGTGGCAAGTCCAGTTCAAAATACACACTGAATTTCGAAGACTTAGAATTGTTTTAAAAATGTAAATATCACATGAATAGTTTTTATACTTATTAGGTGTTTAGACAATAATATTTGGAGTATATTGGTATATTATTAGAACTAATTCTATCTGTCTCTCTTTTTAATTTTTTTAAACACAGCTTCCGAAAAATTTAAAATTACAAATATGGCTCACATCATATATTTCTATAGGGGAGTTCAGTTGTAAACTTTGAAATTTCTTCTTAGATTTACAAAACAAACTATGCTTTTGGGTCAAATTAAAGCACACAAATCACCTAGAAGTGACGTTTTAAAAATTCAGCTCAGATCTATTTGTAATAGCAAAATAGTACTTGATATTTTTGCACATGCGATTACAGCTACATCCCAAGAAGAGCATGCATTCCGGATACTAGAGAAACCAACCACCTGTGTTTCAAAATAGAATTATAAGCCTTCACCATCACCAAAACTGTACCTACATAAACAACCATTTGGAAATAGCATTCTAACCAAGGTTCTTATCCACTTGGAGTCATGCCTTTTTCTCCTGAAGTTTTGGGTTTAAAGCCGAAGGTGTTAACAACTGGTGTACCAAGTCTAGTTTTCACGCCACACATAAATGGGGTTGACTTTATAAATTTTAATTTTCAAAGGCATATACTGTTTCTGGTTTGGAAAAGTGACTTTTATTAGTCCTGACCTAGATGTGTGTGAATTTCACATAGGCTAAAAGATATGTAAAATGCTTGCTATGGTGGCTGCACTGACTGCTCTTTGTTGTGTGTAATTATGGTGCCAATATGAAAAATTAAAACAACAAGGACTCAGCACACTGACAAACTCCAGAAGATATTTCAACTGTGTGCAACCGGAAGGATTTCAAGTGGTCGTCAGCTTGGGTCACTGACACTGCTAATTAAGACGGAGGGGCACTGTGGGAGGATGAGTCTGAAACAACTCTCTTAATGTTATGGAAAAGCATGGAATATTTCAAGTATGGCTTCCAACGCATCACCAAACCTTCTAAAGTGGAAGCTCCTTCTTTTTCTCCATTTTGCTTGATTTGAATTGACCACAAACATAAATCATACCTTTTACCTTTTTACTATTACTATAAACTTTCCTAGGAAACTGTTTATGTTGTTTTTTTTCGGGGGGAGGGCGAGGGGGGACAGAAATCAGATAAACACTCCAGCACATGCAAGTGTTTAGTGAAGGCTTTATCAGATGATTATTTGAAATCTCCTCAGGATAATAAAGACAATATTCTTTCTATGTAAAACAATATATGCTGACATGTCATTATTCAACAATACTTATTCATCATTTTGCCTTGTTTTATAAATTATATCACTTTAATCCTGGCTAGATGATATTTTGCTATCAATCAGTGAAGGAAGCAGTAGATCTCAGTGTTGTGTTGATCGATAGTCTGGTATCTGGGGCCAATCTTGATATCATTCTCCTTTTGATGCTGGACCAACCAGTTAATGGTTTTTTAATTGCCTTGATTTTTTTCAGAAATATGGGCCAGATGAAAAGGCTGATTTAAATACCTAGGGCCTATGAGATCTTCTGAATATATTCAAAGCCAGGTGCTCAGCTTCAATCAAGTACCAATGACTCACCAAAACAAATGACACTCTTCTAGAAGGTGTAAGGGACATTGCCTCTAAGTCTCTATAACAAGCTGGCACAAAAGGATTTGAATAATATATCCCACTCCAATAGCATGTATTAACTTCTCTAGTAAGTTTTCTTATTCATCTATTAAAGCTACCCTCAGATTTATCATCATGGGGCACAATTACTACTAGGCACTCGCAAGGACCATATGGCATAGAGGATGGATGGGAAAAGGGTAAGAACCGAGCCACTCACATGGCTTTCTGTGGAGCTCGTTAAGCGTCTTTAATCTTGTTGAACTTCATGTGCTCAAAAACGTTTTTTTTTGCCCCATCTTTCTTATATCTGTGTGTATTACACACACACACACACACACACAAACACACCTAAGCACACACACAGATAAATGTAACTAAATGTTTTTATATTTCCTATGAAGTTTCAGGCAAAAAAAAAATGCTAGACTCCAAATGGTTTATTTGAATGTAAGTACTGACCTTCTCATGCTCTTACTGCTTTGCATCTATAAATTTAAATCATTTGTCAAGCTGCCATTGGGCCAAACTACGGGAATGCAAACAAAAAAGCTTGCATTAGAAGGATCACACCGACATTGTTTGAAACAGGTTTTACCTTTTTTGCTGCCTGTTCTTCTTCTACACCATCCCCAATTACAACATATACTACTTTTCTGCCAAACCTTTGCATTATTCGTTCAAAGCAACTTTCTTTCCCTGGAAGATAAACAAGATAAAGTTCAGAGTGAAGTTACCTGGTTAGCGGCATGCTCCTCATCTCGGCCATCTCCAATCACAACATAAGTTATGTTAGTGCCAAATCTGGACACTATACGCTCAAAACAGCTTTCCTTGCCTGAAAAACAATGCACTGCTTATTCTTCCAGCCATTGCATTCATTAACCTAAAGATTCATAAAGTGTTACGTTACTTTCTCTTGAACATCAATCACTTAAACTTGCTTGCAAACTCTGGGTTTATGAAATCAACAAATATGGTTGACTACTCTAAGTCTTTACTTAAGACAGATTATTAAATGAATGTATTTCACACTCCAAAAAATGTCAGTAGGGCTAAGTATCTAATCGGAAAAAAATTTTATATCTTTCAGTCCATCAAAAGACTATAGGAACAACTTTACAAGCAACTATTGGTTTTTACATTTATTTGTGTAATTCTACATTTTATCTAGTTTGTTTGAAGTAGTATAGACAAGTCAGCTAAAATGATTACTGTGAAAAACTGAAGGTTCACCTAGAACGAAAGAGGAAATACTAAGATATGGATTTATCTTGATAAACAATTCCTTTCTTCAAGTGGCTGGGAGCTAGTCTGCTCAGATTAATTGTACTAAGGGTGCTGTTTGCTTGGGCCACAGCACTGGTGACACTAGTATCCTCTGATCGCACTATGGGAATAACACCACAGAATTTTTACATGTTCTTTTTTTTTACAACATTGGCATTATTCTCTGAATTTCATTCCCAGCATGTTCATTCAGTCATGGCTTCTTTTTCACTTTTTCTTACTCTGATAGTTCAGAACTCCAAAAAGTACTAGCTTAAAGGGAAAAATAAAAATGATTTTTTTTTCAGATTAAAGATAAGGAACAATTTGGCCAATAAGAAAGAATGTTGTCCTTACTAAAGAATATGTTTATGCAAAACTACTTGATTTGTCAAAAAGCAAAATCAGGTTCGATGTATTAATCCTGCTAGCATAAATATACTTATACAAAAAATGAATGGGATTGGTACCAGGGCTCTGAATGGCAGTGCTTAGGACAATGAGGAATTTACTTTATGAAAGCTTGGCTCTCTTTAACTATACTCCCAAAACAGCTGTAGATGGGGGCTCTTTTTGCCTGTGCCAATATCAGAACTCTGCAAGGCCCAGGGCAGGTTATTTCTGGTAGGGGATTTTAGGATTCTGAACTCTTGTCAAGCTGCCAGAGCCTAAGTTTGTTGACCTTCAGGGCACATTGTACAACCCATCTATTTCCCCAGGCATTTCCTTGACAGACAACAGAATACACGAGCTGTTTTCTTTTAACTCTTTCAAGATGGCAGAAGTTGATGAGCTTTTGTTTTTGAAAGTTTATTAGAAGTCTTAGAGCCTGTGAAAGGCACTTAAAGTCAAAGATGGCTCCACAGATAGCTATGATCTAAATAAACAAGGTTGTAGTTCTTTGATTGCTACTGAATGTTTCTGGAAATGTGGATTTCCAGCCATTCATATGTTATGAATGCTCCAATTATGTTTTCTGATTCATGAATTTTTTTTTCCCCTGGAATTAAGGTTACTAGTTCAATCCATCTGACACTCCCTTATAATGCCAAAACAGTATTTTTATCTTAGATCTAGATTATTGCATATGCAAGGATGTGATACCATATACCATATTAGGTAAAATATTAAATACTATGGCTAAAGGTACTGTATATTATTTAGGTAACATGTGCCATAATGAAATACAAATATAATATAAATGTATATGTATATATAAAGAGTCAGAACTATCCAGATACTGAGTTCAGAATTTCATAGGCGACAGTTTTCATAAAGTTTGCACATGCTCAAAGAGTTGCAGGGGACTTTGTTATTTGAGCTCTATTCAAATTTGCTTGATATTCTTATAGCAAAATTGATGAAAGAGGGAATCATGTGGAGACACACATTAAGAAAATCCCCCAAAACACAGATACAAACATATTTCACACGGAGTTAGAAATAATTTTCTTACCTATTTTAGTTGCACTGTAAATATTCTCAATGGGAAAAGCACCTCCTAAACTATAGAGTAGAACCTTCGCAAGTGCTGGGATCAGCTGGGTTGTTGTTACCAAGACATTTACGCAGTTACTCCTAAGATGAGGAGGAAACAGGCATTTTTGTTTTCTAATACTAGATAATGTCTAACAGTACAAATTTTAAATTATCCTGCAGCCTTTCAGTTCCATAATGAACAGTCCCTGATAACCTACCCTTTCAATATTCAACAGTTGTTTATGGTACCTATCACCTGGTAGGCGCAATGCCAGATGCCAGAAATACATCCCAAAATGAAGGAAGTGAAGGAAAATAAGTTTGCCCTCCTACCCAGATCACAAGCTAGACAGGGAGGGAGACAAGTAAATAGACCCCTGCGAATAAGAAATGTGTTCTATAACCAAGATCTCCTCAGGTCCCTGTGGAACCTCACAGGATACCTACCTCGGCCAGCAGCAATCATGGAAAGATTATTAAAGGGGGCGTGTCTTACCTCTGAGTTTTACAAGTATGCACATCAGCAGTTTTCATAAAATTTGCACATATACAAAGAGTCACAAGGGGTTTTGTTATTTGAGGCAGGTAAGGTATTTTTTAGGGTGATAGGACTCAATGTCCCAGAGTTTTTAGAGCCTGGGAAAGTAGAGGACACAGGAAGGGAGGAGGTGATGGGATGTGTAAGAGGAGTTTTTAGATTTTGTGCAAGAAACAGCCCAGAAAGTCCCAGTCAAGGTACTGACAAATGGTGCATCCTGAAGAAGTAAAAATAGAGAGGATTCTTATTTAGAACAGAAGGGGTTGAGTTCCTGAATCTCCTAACAACCAAGGGCAAACTGCATTTAATGGGCCTTGTTTTAATCCATGTACTAAGGTCTTACCCTTTGAGAGTGAGAATCTCCCACTCTGCAATTCACACCTGTTTCTTTCACAGTAGACAGGATGGGGGGTGAGGGTGCAGCCGGGAAGGTGAGATAAAGGAAACACCAAGAGCGGGGAGACTGTTAGCCTGAGTCACAGGGAAAAGAATGGACTGTGGCCCTTCCTTCTGGACTACAGGGAAATTGAGCTGTCCCGCCTGGAGGGGCTCAAACCACACACCTGAAACTGGGAATCAGAAGCCATATAGCTATGCACCTTTCTCTACTAGATATTTTGTATCATGAGCCTTTAATACCTATTTGTAAGGACTGATACAATATTCTCTAGAATTCTGCAGACTGATTTTCAGAAAACTGGTCTCAAGGGCAACTTAGAAGGACAAGTTGAGCGCTAAATTCTCATAGGTATGTCTATGCTTAGCCCCCAGTACTCTTCATATCATGCTTTATATTCTTTAGACATATCATGTGTAAAGAACACTATAATTTATTTAAAAACAATTATAAAACCTTTATAATGATAGCCTTTTAAAACATTTTCATTCCTACATTATCTCCACAGACACCTGATTTTTGTAATAGGAGCACTGACCCCTAGATACAAATGATGAGGTTATCAATTTATATGGGACAAAGAAACAAAGACTTCTAGAGGTAGAAGTTTAATAAGCATCATGAATACAACATTAAATTTTACTAATAAAAAAATAAAGAGCTAGAAAGTGACTTGCCTTTGATCAGACAAAACTTCCCCAAATAATGGCAGACTACTAAGAATAATACACAAACACATTACTGTATTGTGACACAAGGTTCTACATCATATGTCATCAAAATAAGATGTTATTCAATGTCATATATAGATGAGTGTTACAGAATGAAAACACGGTGGAATAAAAGATAGCACAGGCTTTTTAAATTTATAGATGTGGTTTTGAAATCTAATAAGTAAATTACAAACATTGCATATATTTATATGCAATTTATAACGCATTGTAATTTTCAATTGCAAACATTGCATACATTTATAAATTGCATATATAGACATTTGTAAAATGCAGACAAATATAAAGAAGCAAATGAAAAGCACCAATTATTTAACCATCCAGAGATGATAACTGCTGTCCCCATTTTGTGCATTTATTTTCAGATTTTCAGTTTGCATGTAGGTTGTTTTCCCATTAGGATCATACTGTATGTATCATCTTACATTTTTCATTTGTTTTTATCATGAGCCTATTTACATATGTCATATTGTTCATTATTCTCCCTCTCCAACAAAACATAATGTATGCAAACTACTCTATCTTGTGGCTGCACCATCATTTTTTAAAGTTAAGCTTAGTCACTTAGATGGTTTTGATTTCTCAGTATCATAAACAATGCCACCTTACATATAAATTTTTCCTATGCATATGATTATGTCCTTTGACTACATTCCTAGAATAGGAATTAGAGTCACAGGGTACACACTTTGCTACAGGCTCTGATATATAATTCAGCAGTGTTTGGTGTAAACATCTGCTTTTCTGACAGTTTGTGAAATTTACCAATAAGGTAATAGATGTGGATAACTTGGCAACTTTCATGGTACTTAAACTTCAATGTATAATGATTGATTTTTCCCCTTCATTTCCTTGTCATACATTTATTTATTTAGTTAGTTAGTTATATCACATACCCGTGTGTTTAATAATAATCTCTATATAATATACAATGGCTACACATAGATAATCTATGTAACAATGTAATGTAATACCCTTTGGTTTTTAACTATCTAGGAGACCTCTTTAAAAATAATGAAAGCACTTTCTTCATTTTACACACGATTTTAGGGGCTGTTGTCCTCACATCCCAGCTTCCTTGCCCTTTGGTCTCCATGCCTCTGTGACCACACAGAGCTCACAAGGCAGCAAGTCTCATTTTAAAACAGCTTTAATTGTTAGACAATTCTTCCCACATGGAGCCGGAACCGCCCTTCCCCGGCTGCCTACTCATCGGGACCAACTCTCTCCTTCATAGATGCAGAGAGAAATGTAATTTATTTCTAGCCCAGCAGCTCAAGTAGTTGAAATTGGTAACCTTGTTCCACACACGGCTCTTCTTCAGACTAAACTCCTTGGTTCCTCCCTCTGACTGTTCCTTTTATGTAGTTTCCGCAGCCTAAACTCTTCTGGCCACTTTGCTGGACACAAGATGCTACAAATATGTCACAGCCCCTGTTGGAATGGGGCGCCCAGAACTGAGCAAACTACTCTGTTCTGCTTCCCCAGCCTGACCCAGGAATCTACTGCCCCCTCCCCTCTCCATTTAGAGACTCTGCTATAAATGCAGTGGCTTGTCGTGCCACATGATTAAAAGCCACGTGCGGGATTTGGGACACACTCGTTTACTTCCATGCTCTGATTAGACTCTCCTTTTACCCTGCTAAGGTTTCTCTGTATCTTGATTCAATCAGTCCAAATATTAGCTCTTCTCTGAATTTTGTGTTACCCACACATTTGCTAAGCATGATTTTATTTATTCATCCAACACAGAAATAAAACTAAGGAATAGGATAGAACAAAGATTCATCCCCACCCTACTAGCTATCATGTTCCAGATTTATATTATTAATTAGCATTTATGGCACATGGTACACAACTAGTTATGTCAATTCAGTTCTATTATCTATACTAACAAGTCAGCATTTCACTGTTTGAACTAAACAACACAAAGGTTACAAGTTTTTCCGGAGCTTTCTCTTGCTTTTTTTTGATGTGTTCAAATTATGTATATTCTCTATAATGGCATAAAAGACTTAAAAACATGCACTAATTGTATAAACAGAATTGTGTTTTTTGCCATCATCTTCTGTACTTTGTCACCAACAGAGTGCTTTTTTTAAATTTGAAAGTCAAATGACATTCCCATGGGGTTTATCAGGGGTCGTGAGGAGAGAACAGTAAAGAGATGGATCTCCCAGTTATTCTGAGAAGCAGCAACCCCCATCCTCCATCCCAAAACACACACACACACACACACACACACACACACACACACACACACACACGCACAGTGAATTTTAGGTCCCTTCAAACTCTAAAATAAATCTGGGAATTAAGACATTTTGATATATGCTATGCTATTAGAACTACACCTTCAGTACAATAAATATAGAAACTGCAACAATACCGCTTACCTAGTACTAATAATTGATAAAGATTTAAGTGCATTTGTTAGCCAGGAGTCTGTCAGACCTTCAATCTCAGCCCTCAACTGCAGCCACGCATCTCTCTTGGCAGGGCCAAGAAGTCCTGCAACACAGAAAAGTAGGGCAGAGTCAAGAGGTGAACATTTTTCAGGGATGCCTAGTTTGGTCTTCCTTCTGTCTACTCCAGGTGATTTTTATTCCCACCTATATCAAAAAGAGAGAGATTGATATCAACACTGATCTTCCATTTCAGAATTGATTATCTATTGATTCATTCATTCCACAAACACTTATTGAACAACTTCCGCTCATCACATTCTGGGCTAAAAATTAGGGATATAACAGTGAAAGAGTGGGTCCCAGTCTCTGCCCTCACTGATCCTAGAATCTGGCACGGTGGATGCCAATCACCTGAGGAGCTTTGACAACTACTCCAGAAGACTGACAGGATAGGTCTGGAGAAGAAGTAGGGGTCTACCAGCCTAGGGATACAAACCTCAAATATTTTGGTTGTCTGAAAATGTTTAGTTTCTTAATAATCACAACCATTACCACTTGGAAACAGTAATAATGACATTATCGCATATAGCTATAGAGTTTTCTAGAATTTGTTTCCAATACTAGTGCTAAAGCTGTCAGAAATACGTTGTTTTGTACAAAGGAGTTAAGAATTTTGTTTAAAATCCTGAAGCCTATGATACAGCTCTAGACGATGGTTGAAAACTACATTGATGTTAGGATAAGAAAAGAAGTAGGCATACTAATTTTATTGAGAAAGCTGTTGCTTTCATGAGGAAACAAGATCATGTAAATCTATTAAAAAATAAAGTTCCTTAGTTAAATCATATTTCAGAATATTAAGAGTTCATTTATAGGTGGATAATTTTTTTTAAAAAAATTAATTAATTAATTTTTGGCTGTGTTGGGTCTTCGTTGCTGTGCACGGGCTTTTCTCTAGTTGCGGCGAGCGGGGGCTACTGTTTATTGTGGTGAACGGGCTTCTCATTGCGGTGGCTTCTCTTGCTGTGGAGCATGGGATCTAGGAGCGAGGGCTTCAGTAGTTGTGGCACGCGGGCTTCAGTAGTTATGTCATGTGGGCTTCAGTAGTTGTGACTTCGGGCTCTAGAGTGTAGGCTCAGTAGTTGTGGCGCACGGGCTTAGTTGCTACACGGCATGTGGGATCTTCCCAGACCAGGGCTCGAAACCGTGTCCCCTACATTGGCAGGTGGATTCTTAACCACTGCGCCGCCAGGGGAGTCCTTGGTGGATAACTTTTCAAACCAAAATTTATAGTTTCTACTGAGCCTCATTTGTCATTATTTCAATAAAGAGATGCTAACATATCACAAAAAATGGATTAATATCTCATTGTTTAAACTTTTTAAGCTATACGATTATTTACTAGCAATCTTGTTAATTTTCAAATAATTTTAATAATACCCTTTAAGAGGGAAATAATGACATGCCTAAATGATAAAAGTTAATTCAGATTTCCCAAAGGGATATTTATCTTAAAGTTAAAGTTATTACCCTCAATTGCTTTTAAATAGAATACCTATTTATTTGATTTTACAGAAGTGTCTTGTATAGAGTGTTAGAGTGAATTAGGAAACCTAAGTTGTGTGCCTAAATGCATGGGCAGGTTAGTAGCCTGCAGGAGACTATTTCTCATTTGGAAATAAAGATCTTCCATATCTAAGCTCCGGTTTGGTTCTAACATTATTACTGTCTATGGTTCTACATGTTTTGGTTCTCTTGTAGTTACTGAACATCTATTGAGCATCTATTATGTGCTTCGAGCTAGCTAGGCACTGGGATACAAGGCCAATAGACACACAGCCACCCTTAAGGTGTGTATGGTGTAGTATATGCCTTATAGATGAACACTTTATTTACTACATTGTATTCTATGACATATATGTAAATATGCATATGTATAGCATGCACAAATATCTATCTAGCTGTCTTATTTCAATTTTAGATTCTGGCTTATGCTCCTCAACCATCCCTCTTTTCTTTAAAAAGAGAAACAAACAAAAAGCCCTGAGAGAAGAATCTTAAGTGACCTCATAACTAATCCTATGATCTTGTTGCCCTAAAATTGATCCTAATAATAAAGACGATCAAGGTTTATTATACTGTCAGATAATATGCAGTTTTTGACAGGATAAAATTAACTTGTTGAAGTCTTCAAAATGACATAAAGCACAGTTTGCATTTATTTTTGATAGCATTCCAGGAAGGTAATGATTGCTAACAACTCTGCTTCACTGACTAGGGCTCTTGTGTTTAGACAGATCTTCTTTCCACAGCCTGTATCAGTTCCTTTGTCTGGTTTTCACTGAGAGCGTCCCAGCTGAGGAAGGGCAAAATAAATGTCCTGCTATTAATCTTTTTTTTAATTTAATTTTATTTAGTTTTTTATACAGCAGGTTCTTATTAGTTATCCATTTTATACACATCAGTGCATACATGTCAATCCCAATCTCCCAGTTCCTCCCACCACCACCCCCTTCCCCCCGCCCCGCTTTCCCCCCTTGGTGTCCATACGTTTGTTCTCTACATCTGTGTCTCTATTTCTGCCCTGCAATTAATCTTGACCAAACATCTGGGCACAAAGAATTCCCAATTCCTTTGACAGTGCTGCACGTTTTATTTTGCAGTTAGATTTCCCCCCCCCCCACTAACTCTAAGAAATTAAAATTTCTGGCTCACTGTCATCCAGCATGAGCTCTTGGTAATTTATCTTACAGAAGGATAGTCCCTAATATGAAACTTGAAACTACAGTTTAAATTGTACCTCTATCTGCAGTACCTTTATTAAATTGTAAAAGCCACACATACCTCCCACATTGTTCTTGTAGGTGTTGTATAATTCTTTTACTCTTCTGTAACGAAAAGCCAACTTCCTCATCCAGTCAACCCCTCCTCTTACACCTGTTGGCAAACAAAGGTTTGCACTACTTGCAGCTGCATGGAAGCCATCAGTTGCAAAACTGTAGGTACTGCAACACCCAAAATACATTAAAAAGAAATAAAAGAAATAATTACATGTGCAAAACTTCACAGCTGAATTTCTGTAGGAAAGAGCATACTGAAAGGCATGGCTTACCTTAAGTCTTGCCCATTATCATCAGAGGAAACATCATCTATGTGAACTTGATCACACTCCTGTTAAAAACATTGGAAGAGCTGTTTTTCAAATGATGCTTGTCACCATGTTTGAAGCTTTTTCCATCTTTCCACCTGATCAGCCCATGGCCAGAAGAGGGCAGCATTTGCCCACCCATTCCCGCCCTCTCATGCTGGGAAATGGCACCCTTTCTACTCCGTAAGATCTAAATCCAGAAGAGGACCTTAAAAGGGGCCTGAAAACATATGGCATGTGAGTTTCTTTAGAGCAAATACAAAAATAGTTTTCATCTTAAAATTATTCGTAAGGAATTCTCTTGAATCTTTACAATAATCACTGGTGATCACTTTCGGCCATTTCTGTTAAGTATGCTTAAGTATGAAAGCAAAGCTCATCTGAAGATACTCAAAACTTGTCTGGGCTGACACCTCAGTGGTTACTATTATTTATTATTTTTGGAGCAGCAACAGAGGGGCTTGATGATTATGGTGTTCTGTTAAATTTCTATGACTTCCTTTTTGCTGGGCCAGTGATACCATGAAAAGAATCATGCTAACGTTATTTTTAAAGTCCTGGTCTTTCAACCAGCAAAAAGCTAATAACTATAGAAGCTGACACTTTTTGTGGTTGTTTTAAATCTTTAAACTGAAAAGAATACTGAAAGTAAAAGGGAGTAATGAAGATTTACCAACTCCAATGTGCTACAAATTCAAAGGAAAATAAACTTTAGGTACATACGCTCACATACTTGACCTAAGTTAGAGTGTACTCAGAACAAATGGTAACTTTTCTGGAAAAGAATTCATTTCTTCCTTGCTGTTCTAAGAGTCCTTTTCTATCTTCAAATAATCTGCATAGTTCCAGTGAAATAGTACATGATCTGAAGGTGGAATTTCGGTAGGGTGTTTCAATAACTAGTTTACTAACCTCAGAGTAAGTATGGTTTGGCCTTTTGGGCCTCATTTTTTCCCTTCAGATAATTACAGTCAAACTCACAGAGTCTGACTATATATATTAAGTGTTCATCATTCAAAATCAATTCTGAAAAATCATTAAATTTGAAAATAAGATGCCATACTAAAGGCTTTTCAGCTGCTATTTATAATCATTATAGGACTTGGAAGTATCTGATGGTGAAATATTTAATATTTTATCTCTAGCTTTCCACACTGAGTATATTAGATCTTGTTGCAGTCTGAGGATAAATTAGTTGGCTCAGGTTTCTTTTAAAATATATAACTTAGTGAGTAGCTCAATCAATACAATTTTAGTACGTAACTTGAAAATCCAGGTAAACTAATTTTAAAGGTTCATATTATGTACATAAATTATAGGTTTAGTAACTTTTGAATAAATATATTCATAAGTAAGGAAGGGCCTCAAAAAGTTAATCTGACTGGAAGCTCCCTGAGGGGGGTGTTTGGGTCTCCCAGATATGCTATACCCACACTTAAGGCACTCTCTGGCACGAAGTAATCACTCAACACTTCTTTGTTTGAATGAATGGCAGAAGTCTAAACAAATGTAGTTCATGACAGAATTACCACAATCATTTAAATTTTCTAACATAAAGTTAGGTGATAAAAATAATAATATTCTAGATGGTAAGGGCTGTAAGAAGATATTTATATTAAGATTGGAGGGGAAGGCAAGAGAACAGAGTACGGGCTGAGGCTACAGGAGAGGCATTTAGAGAGGTTCTTCCCCATTTTGACTGAGTGTTTGTTGAAAGGAGCACAGCCCAAACTTTAACCAAAGAAGGCATTATGCTTCCAGAAAATTCTCAGGGAAAAGTATTGCAAGCAACCGTAGTAGCTCTTGGATTGGGCTCTAAAGGAAAGGGTGAAGAGATTTAACTAGTTAGTAAGAAAGTTGAAAATAAAAGTTCTTCCAGAATACTGAGGCAGCAAAGTCGTTCTGGATGACAAGGATTATTTCTTGAGTTGGTGACGTTCTTGGTAAGGATGGAGACCAAATTAAACCACTATTGAAATAGAATCACGCGAAGCTGCTGATTCCACTGAGGTTCTGAAATCTTTTATCATGTAAACAATTTCCATAATTTTATAATAAACTAATGATATTAAAAAAGGGGGGGATCTTATGAATTACAAGTAATTTCTATATTTAATATCCTCCCATCTGATTTTTATAGCAATTCCTCTGACATTTCAAGTATTAACTCATATGATTAATTTGTACATTTTGCCCCCAAATTTACTTTTTACTCCTGAGGACATCAGTATATCAAACTTATTGGACCGTGAGTTCCATATTTGAAGTTATATTTGAGGTTTTTCCAAATGGAACTTCTCTTTAAATTTATGCCTAGTTAACTATGCTTGTTGACTCTGGACCATTGCCCGAGGATTACAGTCCAGTGAAAGAAACCTGAACTTCAATCACTTACATTTTTAGAAAAATCTAAATAATTGTTCTTCAATTAGTGTTCACTCAGAGGAACTTTATAAGAAACATTTTGACAAAACACAAAATAGTAAAAACAGTGTCATGCTTTGGCTTTAACAAACTTCACTGAAAGAACTCAAACATTTGGAATAATCCTGGCACTAATCTTAAATTCTTTAATTTTGTCTTATAAGGTGACCGCAACGTTGTCACTGATCTGTATCAGTTATAATCCATAGCAGTCTTCTCTCACTTTTGTTAGCCCAAACTCCCTGGTGCCTTCTCTTCTGGAAGTTATTTTAACTGAAATAACATTTTATTTAAACAGAGAGTATTCACTTCTTAGGGACAGTGGTGTGAGCATTTGCCTTCTCTGCAGTTGGACAGGATGTAGTGAAGTATCTATTAAGAGGATTTAAATTTGTATCTTTTAAGGAATTATGTGAGAGCAGCTGCTGCTACATATGTTGCACTATCTATTGAAGGATTTGAGTCTCAAATTAGATTTTTAGGTTAAGAAAAGGAACCCTGAGAGATTAAATACACAAGGGGAAATCACATAATAGGCTAATGATGAAGTTATTCTCTTGAGGAATTCTCTTTGTCAGTAGAGGCACACATAGCTTAATACCAGTTATGAAGCTCATGACAATCTTTGCTTCTAAGAGGTTTACTGAAATAAAAAACTGGGAGAAAGTAAAGTTTCAAAATCAGATACAGAAGGATAGTGGATATATATGTAACTGTACTGAACGATCTTGAAAGCTACTGTTTAGATTTTATTAGTTTTAGTGTTTGTTTATCTCACCTATGTTAGTATAAACCTCTGAGTTTCCTTGGGCACCTGGATGTGTGTGCACGTGGGTGTGTGCACATCTGAGAACTCAATCAATTTATATGCAGAGACTAAATCATTTCATTGATCTAGTACATTATTGTTGGATACTAAGTTTCAGTGTTTGAGTAAAATGGAATTTTTATCACATTCTAAAGCACAACTAAAAAGCTATAATCATAGACGAGAAAGTCAATACCAATATTTTCTCAGTTACTATTTCTACCTGAGATCCTGTTGGGTATTTGAAAGATATATTTTATATAGTATCAAGTCCAAAATAAAAATTCTTAAAGCACCATAGCTGACCACATGTTTCTGATATGCCAATATTCGCGTCAAACTTGCTAAAGGTATATTCAAATTCATCATTATCAATATAAAGTTATATTCAAATTCATCATATGTTCTCACTTTAGTGTTCTGTCAGAAGTTGGATGGTAACTTTATTCCATCTGGCTTCTAATGTGCCACTAAAAACCTAGAGTCATTTATTTCATTTATTTCTAGTAAAAATAATAAATGAAATGAAATAAAACTATAAAACTTGGATAAAACCATATCAAACTTCTTTTTTGTGTGTTTTACAGGCTTGAGAGGAGTAATAATCTTAGAATTCTTTTTAGAATGAGACGCGTCCATTTTACCCAACAGAAAAATCAACCTAAAAAGTTATCACCATATATGTATAAAAAATTCAAGTTTCCAAAGGATTAAAGTGTGTTTCCTATTACTGTGTATATATAAAATAATTCTATACAGTAGACAGTAATAAGTAGTAAGATTAATTTAAATCAGGTTTTAGAGAGGTGATTATTACTTCTTATTATATAAAACTGAAGACTTGCCCAAGAATACCGATCTTTTATAGTGTCTCTTAAAGAAAAAATTAAAACCTCTTTAAACAGAATTTAAATTTTATTATCCAGTAAAAACAGCGACTCACTGCAGAGAGAACAAGAAAGAAAATGCTATTACACAGGTTTCCAACACATATGTTTATGGGGTATACTGAACAACACATCTTTTACTCATGCCTCAGATGTAACTAAAACTCGGTTTAAGACCTTGTCAATTGAAAAAAAAACGTATTCAAAGCACTAACTTGGCTTACTTTCCTTGCACACGTCTGTTAATTTCAGCATGGTATGGGGACAGGGTATGTGTTCTGGAGCCAGACAAACTCCAGAGTTTCAAATTCCGGTTCTATCACTTAGCAGGTAGCCTTAGACATGATTTTTATGCTGGTGAACCCTACAGTTTCTTCTCTACAAAAATAATGTGATAAACATATTTATTACAAAAGTTTGTTAATTAATTAATGGAAAGCCCAATATAAAATGTCAAACACAAGGTGCAGATTCAGTAATAATAATCCCCATCTTCACTCATAATGTGATTATAGATAAACACTTTAATTTCATTGTGAAATCATGGGATAAAAAATCAATTTGAATGGGTCATTTAAAAGAAGAAAGAGAAATCTATTTCAGCATAGTTGTTCTTGACAGAGAAGAACTTCTGTCCAGTGCCCAAGTTACTCAGTTATTTCAAATTTTATCATCTGAATGCCTAATAACTCAGATCATTAGCACTCATATTATATACCTTATTACAGAACTTATTTAGCTATCCTGAGGCTATTTTTTTCTTGGGTTCTTTTAGTTTGTTGTTTTTGCTTTTACTTTCTCTTCATTTGAGGTTGGAAATGGAAAGATGAATTAAGAAAAAAAGAGAAAATAAGTGCAATCAAACCAATCAGAAGTGCTATGTAAATAGCTCTTGCATGGTTTTATCCAGAAGGGGAAGAAATAGGGAATGATAATGTCTAGAATTAGGTTTAGGATTATCTATATTTACAAAACAGAAGTAGATTCACGGATGTAGAGAACAAACTTATGGTTACCAGAGGATAAGGGCGGGGAGGGATAAACTGGGAGATTGGGACTGACATATACACACTACTATGTATAAAATAGATAACTAATAAGAACCTGCTGTATAGCACAGGGAACTCTACTCAATACTCTGTAATGACCTATATGGGAAAAGAATCTAAAAAAGAGTGGATATATGTATAAGTATAACTGATCACCTTGGTGTACACCTGAAACTAACACAACATTGTAAATCAACTATACTCCAATAAAAAATTTAATAAAAATAACGATCCACGTTAGAACCAGGAACAGTATCTGTGACTAACTCCTGTGCAGTGATTAACCTAAATTGCATCCTGGTTAGTAACCTGGAAAAGCTAATGCTGATACAAAGATGGAATGAATTGTGGCTGGGACACCAAAAGGACCAGGAGTAGTGGACAGGGGTGTATGGTATGAGACATCAAAGCAGACCTCCTTTTTGGAGACACTTTTTGTTCTAAATATGCACCAGTAAATATGTATCACTCATTAACACAATTTCGCTTTTGTTTATATTTGCATATACAATGTCTCCCCTTGACAGGAACTTTACTGTTCTCTTGAGCTAAATTTCTATCTTTCTGGTTTTTTTGAGGTTATCTGCATATATAGAAACCATATAAGAGTTTTAATAGTTTGATACAACTATTCTTAGCTCTGTAAATTCTTACCTCTAAATCATTAAAAAATAAATGTGTATCAGCAAGATTAAAAATCATCTCCTCCATTCGGAGTCCAAGGGTTACAGCCATGGGGGGATCCTGAAAAGGAAATGCACATATAATGAAGTAAATTTTCAGTAACCGCAGTTATTATTAAAATTATCTTAAGCGCATATGCCTGTAGGGGGTAAGGAGGTGGAGACTGTTTGGGTTTTTTTTTTTTTCTTTTCTTTTTTTTTTTGCGGTACACAGGCCTCTCACTGTTGTGGCCTCTCCCGTTGTGGAGCACAGGCTCCGGACGCGCAGGCTCAGCGGCCATAGTTCACGGGCCCAGCCGCTCCGCGGCATGCGGGATCTTCCCGGACGGGGGCACGAACCCGTGTCCCCTGCATCGGCAGGCAGACTCTCAACCACTGCGCCACCAGGGAAGCCCTGTTTGGGTTTTTAACCTAAGATGCAAAAGATTTCCCAATTATCAGAAAAGGTGCCTTTCTAAAGTGTTATCTACAACATATTAAATATACTGCTACATCTGTGAATTTACAGAACTTTATATGCACAGAAGAATGACTTAGATACATTTTCACATAAAGCTATACGTTCATGAGAGGAGGAGGAAAAAAGCAAGCTAGTTCACAGGACCCAGTTTACATGTACTCCATGGAAAGTCCTTTGGAGAAAGGTACTTGGATGGGACACTGAAGAATGGAGCAGATCTGTTAAAAAGAGAAAAGACGTCCTTTTAAGAATGACAACAAATAAGTAGAAAAGAGAGAAAAGTAGGTCTATTGGATGTTTGTAGCACGAGAGCAGACGATATTGTCTGGAGGTGGGATAGGAAGAGCTGGCAGAGCAGCTCTAACTTCATTATTAATTGTATTTTGATCAACATGCAATATTTATCTGAATATGTGCAGAGTCCGATCTAACCTGCATTTGACTAGGGATGAAGAGGGAAGGGTGGAGTATGGCTAAAGGAACATTCATTGAGTAAATATAATATAGAAATGTATAAAAATAAAATATATACATCTAGAAGTCTAATGAAAGTAAGGGGATTAGTAAAAAGTCAAAGTGACTTAATTTTTCTTTATAGAAACTAAGAGATTACACAGCAGCAAGGAGTTGAGAATGAAGACCAGAGTTGGTACTTTATCACAGTTAATTACAGTTGAAAACCTGGAAGAGAGAGGTGTAAGACTTTATTTTAAAAAGTAAGCCCTTTATTTTAGGGCTAGGGAAATAAGTCACGCACAAACCTTGTGTTTAAAATGATCAGAGTTGGAATGATCTCTAAAGGAGAACAGCTCTGGATGTGACTCTAGAGATGAGAAAAGAGGAAACCTGGAAGGGACAAATCCTCAGAATTTGAGACCAGAATGGGTGTTGGCAGGGAGAAGAAAATGGTTTCAAATAAGGCTGACAGATCTAGACGGATACTATTGGTTTTGGCTGAGAAGTTATTTTGGAAGACCTTAGAGGGTGATTTGGGTTGAGTGGCTGGGCCAGGCGCCAGACTGTAGGGATGTGAGGAGAGAGAACCAAACTTGTGTTTTCAATGTTCTAATAAATGGCATTTCAAGAAATGTATTTAAACTTGGGGAAATGTAATGCTAACGTTACTGCAATTTATGATAAGAATATGCAACCCAGGTCAGGTCAAGCAGTATTCATATACACCCCCGAACTTCCTTGACTTAGCAAGAAGAAGACCCTCTTTATGCCACACCTATACTGCAACAACCTATTTTTTCCCTCTGTACTTCCATAATGCTTTGAGGGGGGAAACCGTAGAGTGTAACCATGCTGGAAGTGAATGTCAGCCTCATATTCTGTAGTGATGAAAACCTACAGAATAGGAACTGAGTGCTGAGAAGGAGAGAGAGAAGGTCACAGAGATGCTGAGCAAAGCTAAGACTTGATGTGGGAGAAGATGAGAGGACAATCATAGTATGTTGGGTGTCAACATAATTTTCCAACTGTTTACATCTCTTTCTTGGAGATTTCTGTGGATTTCATAGCTGGACATTCCCTCTTCTCAAAAACAGAGAGTCATGATTCACATTTTTTAAAAATTTTTATTATTTATTTTCTTCGCGGTACACGGGCCTCTCACTGCTGTGGCCTCTCCCGCTGCGGAGCACAGGTTCCGGACGCGCAGGCCCAGCGGCCATGGCTCACGGGCCCAGCTGCTCGGCGGCATGTGGGATCCTCCTGGACCGGGGCATGAACCCGTGCCCCCTGCATCGGCAGGCGGACTCTCAACCACTGCACCACCAGGGAAGCCCTGGTTCACATATTTGATGGCATCTCGGTGTTATGTTCTCCTGTCAGTATGACTCTATGCTAGATTCATCTGTCTTCCAGTGACAGGATCATTTGGAGCAACGTACCCAAAGATCAAATGAATTCCATTTTATCCAACAAGTATTCATTCAAGACCGAGAACAAAAATATGAAGTGCCCATTTTGTGTCTCAAGGAGTTTCAAAACTCAGAGGGATCTCTTGCTCTGTTTCCTTCAAATATAAAATTCTTTTTTCTTATTTCTTTTTGTTGCTGTTTATGTTTTTGTTGCTGTTGCTGAAAGAAAATCTCTGGAGGTAAAAAAATTTAAAAATATACATGTGTCTTCTTTCTGTAAAAAATTCCTATTTCTAGACTCCCTCTCTCTTTGTTATGGGGGTGGGGGGTTTGAATAGGCTGAGGACACAGAAAACTTGTAAATATTCCATCTAGTCATGGAACCATGAACAAAAAGCCTACAGAAATATCAGGAAAAATCAAATGTAATTATAGCATGAAAACATATAATTCCATTAGTGATGCTCTATGCTTTTGAGGAATGTTCACTGATGCAAGACAATAAAACTGAGCTCCACAGGACTCTGTTATGTTTCTGATGATTACTGCCCTAAAGATATATATTTCAGATGGGGGTTCAGAAATGTCTTCTATAAAACGTTTTCCTTCTTGAGACTAGATTGGTTAAAGTCTTATCGTATGATTTGCCAATTTTTCTTTTTAAAGTTTTAGATAAAATTCTTCAATTTCTTATGTTCATGCCTCACATTCTTTGCATTTACAGATCAGATTTATGGGGACAGGAGAAAACGTACTGTTTCTTTTTGATTGTTACTTTCATCGATGCCACGCTTCTGTAGCATGTAAATCTCTATGCTACCTAAGCAGTGATAGGAAAAACCATGAAGAATGCATTTTGTGCATCTGATAGGCACGCAAACAAATATAATTTTTAAAAAATCAACAAGAATTCTCTAACAAAGAAGCATAGCGTATGACATGATGAAAACTGTTTTTGAGCACCCCACTGGAATGCAACCCCACGGCAAAGGAAGGGGCAGTTATTTGTTTCTCGAGCTCTGGCGATTCCACATCACACAGGCTCCTAGAGCCAGGACTTAGTAAGCATTTTGGCAAAACTTCATTGGTTAACCGGGAAAGTTTCAGTTTGAGGTTTGCATGAGTGCGAACTGGCTGTATTTTGCTAAGGCCTGTTGAAAGGGAGGTGTTTTGTCACCTATGCCGAAGGCTTGACAGAGAAGGGCTAGGGATAGCCATGCCACAAGCCAAGGAAAGCTGTGCTTGTAAGAGGTGCTGATCTTGTTTCTAAGAGAACATCAGGTGAGGGCTTACTTTCAAATATCCGGTTTTACTTTTTTTTTCTTTTTCCAGTTTACGAAGTCACTGGGATAGCTAATTCTAAGTAAGCAGATTCCAGCACCCCATTTTCCACCTAAAGAACCCCCAGATGTAAGAATCCAAGAAAGATGGGCAGGAAGTTGGTGGGTGTCACTGTCATGTTGCACACCCTCTCCCTTGCAGAGCACTGGGCAGGAGCTGCCAGAGCCTGCAATCCCACGGCTTTATCAGGCATTTGAGAATGAAACATACTTCTGGATTGAAGCCAACTTTTATACAGAGATGTTTGCTCGTTTTCATTAGATGTTTGTAGAATTATGGGCACCTTATGAATCAAGGATTACTGCCTTTCCTCAGTTTAACTGTAGTGAGTGTTGAGTTTAGGGTCTGCAATGAAGTGACAGTGAAAACTTGGAAAGAGGGGAAAAGTGGGATAATAAAGTGAGTAACAGGGTTTTGTGGTAGCTCTGATACATATTATACATGCATAACAGTTCCAATCGGTTCAAAGTGTCTACAGCAGAGTTTCATATGGGGCAAACTGAACCTCTGCCAATTTAAATTTACTCTGTGTAGCGTTCTATGAAAATACTGAAACTATTCCCAAGACATTTGTTGGAGAGAGAGAGACAGGCAAGAGATACAGAGACAGAAACAGAGACAGAGGGGAGATGAAGAAAATGAGTAGGTTTTGGCCCTTAACTGTGTGCTTTTCAGCCGGATGTGATCAGTGTATAACCAAGTCAGGATCAAGGACAGCACTTCTCTATATCAAAATACTAACGCCTATTAGCCATGTAAGCGCAGAGCATAAATTGGAGCCAGACAGTCTGTCTATGGGCCTCTGCCCTGCACTGGGCCATCAGCTGGAATTCCTCCTCTAGGGACACACTGTAAAAATATTTCAGGAGAGGCAGCAATTATGTATTTTTAAAGAAATGGGGGACATTTTTTTTAAGAACTCAAGCTCTTGGAACAGTTACTCCCTTGGGACCCGAATCATATTTGTGGACATGTGCACACAGAGGCAGAAGATGTGCAAATTCATTACAAGAAAAGAAAGACAAACTAGCTCCACGAACCAAGGTGGAAATAGCTAGTGGGTTTGTTAGAATACCTAAACTCTTTTAATCAGAGACAAGAAATGCCATGACATTCAGTCATGAATCAGAAGGGAAATTTTACAATTGAGTTGTTTGTCTGTCATGGACAGGCAGTGGGCTTAAGCGTTCTCAGGGGGAATTGGAGAAGGGTTTTAGGAACTTTCATGTATTTATTGAGTGTCTACTACATGTCAGACATGATCAAATTCTGGGCAGAGAGCAGAAAATTAAATAAGCAAACTCCCTGCCCTTATGGGGTTTATATTATTACTGGATGAGCCCTCTGATGAATACATGGACAAAAAAACAAGGAAATATGTAGTATTCTAGGTGG